AAATAGCCATGGAACAGCCTGCCATGTTGTGCTCTATCACAACAGCTGCTGCTGCACCGAGTCCTTCTGGTCTTTGCAGATTGGATGATGACTCGCAAAGCTGGAGTCACATGTGAGGTGGTGGCAGAGGTGACAATACCATGATAAACTGGGGAGAAATGAGTGGGATGAGGCTGGAGTAGCTGGTGGGAAGCAGAGCTGGACACACTCCACTAGCTGCCCATGGGGAAGCGGCTGGAGCAGGGGGAGAGCTGGAGCCAGAGCTGTGCCGGGGGCTCACACTCCCAGGCTGGCGATGGCCACAGTGCTGCCAAACCAGCTGGAATTTCCCTTCAAACAGGGAGAGGCAGCAGGGGCAGCCAGTTACACCACGAACTCTACCCGAGCCATTTTCACCTCTTTTCTCACAAAAAAATGCTTCCCCTGCAGCTGGTGGCAGAGCCTGAGGAGCAGCAGCATCCTGGCCATGGGGGTAAAGAGCCAGGGCTGCTCAGCCTCACAGTTCATGAAATATTATTCACTGAAGCCCAAGGAAGTGAACGAATATCTGAAACATTCCACTGAAAAAGTAAATGTTATGGTTAGCAGGGACCTGAGAGAAGCATCATAAATCCCTGTCTTTGAGACCTTTTTAAGACAACCTCAAGGACTGGACAGTCCAAGAGCACCTCTGCCAACCTACAGACCTACTCCAAGACTCCCCTCGCTGACCAGAGGTTTCTCCAGACATCACACTTTCTTGCTCCAACTGAAGATCATCCTGTCTCACCCACTGCAGGGATTTTCTCCTCCTTTCACCAAGAGTCTTTTACTTGGCTGGAGACTTTCACACACCAGCACCAAGCAGAGAAGGACCCAGCACCATCACTTGATTCCCAACTCCTTCTGCACCAGCCCTCAAGCACCAAGAACACACTTACTTCCATTTTAGGAGCGCTCATGGAGCAGGGTTTAGTTCTGTTGCTTATTTTTTTTCTCCCCCAGAGTCAAACCCAGGAGCTGTATTTTGGCTACTTCCCTCAAAAGCTACAGTTCTAAAAAAAAAACAACAAACCAGCCAACAAACTATTACAAGAAACAAAAATTCCAGCTGCTCCTACTAACTCATCTGCTTAAAATCACGTTCCCTGGGGTACTTGGAATATATGTGACAATTTATTAGCAGTTCTGCACAGCACAGCAATCACATGAATTAACCTCCAAGGTGAGAAGCAACCTCGTGAGCAAGTCAGCATTATTCAGGTATTAGTTGAGAGGCAAGACCTTCCTTGAGAAACCCACTGTCCCTTCCTCTGCTTTTTATCTTCCATTATGTGGTTACTTTAGCTCCAAGCTGCGGCTCCAGATATTCCCAGAGGAATTAAAAGAGCCCTCGATATTATAAATACTCTTGTTCATTGTAAACACACCCCAGCACTCAGAGCAAGGAGTCGGAGCTCTGACACGGCTCCAAACTGGCTGGGCAAACCACTCTGCTCCTCACCACATTCCAGCTGAGCCGCGGTTTCTCTTCCAACCCAGAGCTTTTTGTCCAGCAAGACCCAACTGTGGGCAGAAAGGATTTTCCTCTGTGCTTAAAACCATGTTCTAAGTTAAAAACCCGAGGGCTTGGGGCAGCCATGGCATTTAGGAGGAGCGAGGCCTCCCCGTGAACCGCACAGATGGATTGAAGCACGATCTGCCCACGTCAAGAGAAGAGTCACCAAAGAAACCAAACCATAGCTTGGACTTTCCCACATCATGGAAGAGTGGATGACTGGAGCCGAGGCCAGCCCAGCCTCGGGGACACACCAGCCCTTTGCATGCTAGGGGAGGGCGGGGGAATGGCCAGGAAAGCAGTGATTTAGGCTATATTTACTCAGCTGCCTCCATTCTTTGCTCTCACAGAGAAAGTCACAGGGCCAGTTCCCCAGTGGCTCCAAGAGCTGCTTGGGAAATAAAAGCTGTGCACTAATGGGGAGGAGAGGTGGCCGTTCCTCTGCCAGGGGTGCCGAAAGGCACAAGGCTGGTGCCACCCCAGCTCTTGCAAAGCTTGTTTTAGACAGGTCCTACCCCAGCTTTTAGCTGCCATTAAATGCAGACCCTCAGTTTGAGAGGTACATGACCACAGGAAGCCTCAAGGAGCTGAGAAACATCCCCAGCATTACAAAAGACACAAGGCACCAAGATCACTGGAAAGAGATCCCAGAGCCAGGGCTTGGGGGCAACTGTGTCTAGAGCCAGGAAAGCCACTGCCAGCCCAGGCTGGACTGCAGCACATCCAGGGGGACAGGAGCATCCCTGAGCCACCTGGCCCCAGCACGGGGTCTCCTGGGACCAAGCCCTCAGCCCAGGCTGGAGCCCTGCAGCCCTGACAGGCCGCTTTCCCCCCAGCTTTGCCACCTAAAGAGGGTGCCCAAGACCCCCGGCCACGGGGGCTGCACCCTGCCGAGGGTGGGGGGAGGTCCCCGCAGGGAGAATGGTACAGATGTGCCTCCCTGTGCTGGAACTAGGGTGGGTGGAGATTACCTAGAGAGGTCGGGGGGCCCAGCACCTTGCACAGGGAGGGAACAGGCCCAGCTCTGGCACCACGATGGGGGACACACCGTTCTGACACAGGGGACCTGGCCTCGGCACCTCGGGGCGGAGGGG